AACGTTGAAAAAAAAAAAAAAGAAAGAAAGAAAGAAAGAAAATAACAATACTGAGTAGAAGAAAGTAGCTGCAACATTATTATTCATTAATATCTAGAGGTACATGAGTACATTTATACTTATTCCTCGCAAATACCTATAGCGAGTTTTTATCAAATTAAGAAAATCATGTAGTTCAGTTGATTAGAAGCCAGAAGGAAACATTAAATGGAATGCTCAGGATTTTTGATGGCTGCCTTTAAATGCACTTCTTTTATTGTTTCCTAGAAATTTTGGGAACTGGCCAAACAAGTGAGTGAATTCATGATATGGAAACAAGTGGAGTGTCCATTTGAGAGGGACCGGAAGATCTTGCAGTATCTGCTCACAGTACCAGTCTTCAGTGAAGATGGTGAGTAGGCCTTTCGCCTGGAACTGCCAGCAGCATCCACAACCCTGCAATTGGGAGATTCCTGTATACATGCTTGGTGCCTGGTTCCTCCTATCGTAGGAGGCCTATCTTCTGACCTACTCCACTTGAGAGTTTTCTGTGGAACAGGAAACCATATGATTTATCCCTAAAATAGTTGAATCGGGCACTCATTCTTCACCCATAAATAGTTTCTGTGTTTAAGCATTCTCTATAATACTAGATCTGCAAAGCTTTGGGCACAAATGGAAAGTCATTGAAGGATTTTTTTCCCCTTGTTTAGACATGCTTCATTGGAGAAAAAAGGTGTTTTGTTTGTGGTATGTTGATATTAAAAGTAATTTGAAAAAAGCAAAAATAAAAAAATAGTGGCTACCTGCTGCTTTTTGAAAAAGTAGTGGAAAATCTTGACCCGTTAAAACATTAAGGAATTTGGGGGGCTCCTGGGTGGTTCAGTCTGTTGAGTACCTGACTTCAGCTCAGTCATGATCTCGCAGTTTGTGAGTTCAAGCCCCACATCGGGCTCTGTGCTGACAACTCAGAGCCTGGAGCCTGTTTCAGGTTCTGTGTTTCCCAACTCTGCTCCTCCCTGACTCACGCTCTGTCTCTCTCTCTCATAAACAAATAAACATAAATGTTTTTTTTTTAATTAAGGAATTTGAGGCAGAAACAGTGATTGTCTATACTGAAAAAAAAATTGATTGGAAGAGAGTTAAAATTTGTAAAAGACTTAGGGATTTGTTGTACTGATCTTTTATATCCTAATATTCTAGAAATCAATAGTATTTTTCCCAGTAGATTGATAGTGTTTTTGATAATGACTGAAGTGCATTTTGCACTAATATTACACATTCCAGAGGGGGCTTGATTGTTATTAATCTCTACAAATAGGATTAATAACACACTTTAAAATCATTGCATGAGTTTCCTTTTGATTTACAAATTAAAAAAAAATATTAGAGGGGTGAAAATTTGACCTAGAATATCTGGCTTTTTAGCTTCTAAAGGTTTTTTAAAAATCAAGGCTATCAGGAAAGGATCTCCCTCCCCTCCCTGTCTTCATAAAGAACATAAACGTGAGGGTAGGATAGCATCGTGCGGCTTGCATTTGTAAGCTGTTTTGCCTCATAAACCGTCAGTTAATTAAGTGCATTTTTGGCCTAGAACCCCTTGGGTTTTGGGTCTGAGATGGTCAGTCAGGGGCAAAGTGACATTCGGTGTTTGTAATGAAACTGTGATGCTTCTCAGTTGTCATTGGATATTTTAAAGAGTTTTGCTGTAGGGGTGGGCTCCGGTTAAACAGGAGATGGATGGGGGCAGGGGCAATACCAAGAGAAGGCCTCAGTGTTAATGCATTCTTACCTGTGGTTGATTGTAGCACTCTACTTGGCTTCCTATGAGAGTGAAGGACCTGAAAATCACATAGAGAAGGACAGATGGAAGTCCCTAAGGTGAGTCTCCGTGCTTCTCGTTGCTGGTCTATGGGCCATGTTGGGCGTACCTGGGGAAAGCCATGTGCTTTTCTGTAGGAAGTCCCTCCCTGTGTGTTCTGAGTCCTTTCTGCTCCTTAACTCTTGTCAGCTGGATTTTTGTGGCTTAGAGTCCTCATCATTCAGTTTTATCACCTTTCACTTTTTTATACTGTCAGATACACAGTGACTCTCCTCTCCTTTCTTTCTCCTGTTATTTTATGGAAGAACTGAAATTACCCCATGGTACGGTCGAAAGAACACGGACTCTCCTCATCATCTAAAAAAATAACAAGTTCAGACTATATTTCCGAATAGTTTTAAAACTAAAATTTTATTTGACCTCAGATAAAGGAGATCCAAGTACCAGTTGGCTCAGTAAATCTAAGCGTGTCACTCTTCTTAGTGACTGGATCTTGGTCCCCACTTTGGTTTGAGAGAGAGGAAGCTGGGACTTAAAAGACAATCCAGAACCTATTCAAATTTAAAAAAATCGTGTCAATCTATTGGCATTTTCAAACAAATGTATTTTCTAAAAGAAAACAACAAGGATAGCTAAATGTATATTTTAACTATTTTAGATATTTTAATAGGTAAAATAGGCCAAGATATAGTAATCATGTAATCAGAATTGCTCTACTTGTATTTCTACTAAGAACCTCTGGGAACACGTGCCTTTTTGTATCAGGGTGGACAAGCACGGTCCTGTTCTTCCCAGAGTCATTTGGGAGTCTTCGTTTTGCTTGGTATTGGGCTAGGTTTTGCGAACCAGGGTGTCTGAGATATATTTGGTTTTGTGTGATTTCATTTGTTTCAAAGGAAAAGTTAGGGTTTCTTTGTACCTCTCAACGTGGAGGGATGAGGTACAGAGGCATTGAAAATATCAGCCTTACAACACGTCACGGTGATGGGTAAAGGACTGGACACGTTTTGGTTTTTGTTTTTTATCCCAGACACAGACGTAAAGAAGGTGTGGCCAACATCTGCAATCAGGGGATATAACAGGGCTTGCTGGGTTGGTGCTCAGTTCTATTTTTAATGACATTGTGGGCCTGCCAGTGGCACATTTCTATTAAAACTTTGTATTACTCTGTGCTGGTATTGAAGGGTATTTACTGCACTCTTCAGCATTATTCATGTGTAACACATGAGGCTCATAGTCCACATCTTGCTGGAAAAAGGATTTGGGAATTACTCCTTGTCCTCCTAATTGTTAGATGAACTTTGCTTTCCATGCTTCTCCTCTTCATAATTCTTTCTTTCTTTCTTTCTTTCTTTCTTTCTTTTAAATTTTTTTTTAACGTTTTATTTATTTTTGGGACAGATAGAGACAGAGCATGAACGGGGGAGGGGCAGAGAGAGAGGGAGACACAGAATCGGAAACAGGCTCCAGGCTCTGAGCCATCAGCCCAGAGCCCGACGCGGGGCTCGAACTCACGGACCGCGAGATCGTGACCTGGCTGAAGTCGGACGCTTAACCGACTGCGCCACCCAGGCGCCCCTTTCTTTCTTTCTTTCTTTCTTTCTTTCTTTCTTTCTTTCTTTCTTTCTTTCTTTCTTTCTTTCTTTCTTTCTTTCAAGCATGAGGTTGATATGGCCCTTGAGCATAGCTTAGCTCTGGTTACTTTTCCTAGAGACTTTTAAAAAAACTAGTAAGCAGATAAATTGGTTGTACAGAAATGATGCCTGGTATCCGTGTGACCCATGAAATCCAGACACATGAAAATACTCCAAACCTACCACATCCTTCTTTTCCAGTTGTTATTCTTTTCTGATTGTTATTCTTTTATGCCCTATTCCTCCTGATTGGTGGTTAGTTTGGAGGGGTTTGTAAGTCAAAGTAAAGATCGAATTGTACAATCTCTTCTCCTGTTTGTATGTATTATACAGACAGTATACAATACCAGTTAACATTTGATTGGTTGAAATGTGACCAAAGAAGTTAGTGGAGAATTTAGAAATGCGAAGTGAAAAGGAGGGGCCCTGGACTGGCTTAAATTCAGACACAAATCCGTGAATCCGAGCTGAGCTGTACTCAACTCAAGTGTTCAGTAATAATACTTCTGAGAAGCATTTATTGAGGGACTGGCCCCGACACAAATAGTGTGACTGGTATACAGGGAAATATGTATATAAACACAGTGAAGATGTATTTTTGGTATAAAAGACTAGTTTCACAAGAAAAAATTTTTTTTTAATTTAAGTTTATTTATTTTTGAGATCGGGGACGGGGAAGGGCAGAGAGAAAGGAGAGAGAATCCCAACCAGGCTCAACGCTGTCAGACGTGGTGCTCGAACTCACAAACTGTGAGATCATGACCTGAGCCGAAATCAGGAGTTGGACGCTCAGCCGACTGAGCCACCCAGGCGCCCCAACATGAAAATTGTTTTTAAGGAGCCCTGAAGACCAAACTGCCCTTTGCGTCCGGGTGTAAGCCACGCACTCTGCCCTTTCCATATCCTGTGTAATGTCCAGGCCCCCCCCCCCACCCAGGGCCTCCCCCTCCGTGACTCGTATCTCCCCAGAAAGAGTCTAAGGCAGTTTTCTCCTGTTACAGACCAAGGCGTTTTTTTGTAGTGCACTGCTGCTTGTCTCCCCTACAGTGTAAGCCCCCTGAAGGCAAGCACAGTCTTCCTTGTGCTCCTGCAGTGTTGGGTTACTGCAGGAGGCCAAGGCATAGCAATCACCAAGAGGATAAAGAAGGGGAAATAGGCTATGAGCGTTTGCAAACCCCCGTGTGTCAAGTGGGTGCGAAGACTAATTGTTCTCGAGTGATAGTACCTACCTGAAAACTTGTATGTACATTAGCTTTGAAGGCAATAAGATAATTTCACATAGACGCTTTTCCTGCTCACCCTAGAGCCGTTCATCCAGACACACTCAGCAGTGGCAATGACAAATGTACCTCCGAGGGGAGACACCTTTCTTGTTAAATGCTCTCAATGGACATGTAATGTGAAGACGCTTCTATTTACTGAGTAAACCCATCTGTGATAAGACCAGTGCAGACGCGAAAGCTTTTTATAATTAATGACTTCTGTTTGTCTTTTTGTTTTTGTTTTAATATAAAGCCACTCAAAGATTTACCTAAAAACAAAGCTTTTGCCGTCTCCGTTAATATTTATTTGAAGTGACTAGCAAGTCACTAGCACAAAAACAGATGGACTTCAATGCTTCGTATTTTTTTCTTTCTCTTTTTAATTACATGTAATCAAACTTAAAGCCTAGGAAAGGTGAAACTAGTATCAGACAGGGCCCTTGAATCCTTACCGAAATAATCTGCCACTTTTGTTCTCATCCTGTCTTCTTTACAACGCAGGTCCAGCCTCTTAGGCAGAGTTTAACCAACAGGGGATGCTGACTGTCACTGCTGCTGCTGCTGTCGCTCGGATCGCTGAAGGGCTGGCCTTTGTTTTCTGGCATCTAGTTCTACAAAAAAACATGCTAAGTCCCCGCGAGCAAACTCACTCAAGAGCAGATGGGGGACTTGTTTCCCACAGCTGACAGATTGACTCGGATTTTGTGAGAGACTGAAATGTTCACTGAAGACACTTGAGAAAGAATCCTCTACAGATCCCAGCTCTGCACATGATTCATCTTCTGGAATTTCCATGTGAATCACAGCTCTGCACCTGGATGGAGCTTTCTTTTGTGTGTGTGTGTTTTTTATTTGGTTGAACATTTGCTGCTAATGGGACTTGCCCAGCTGAGTGCTGGCTCTGAGGAAGCCCATGTTTCTTTGTTAACTTAAATGAAAAAGGGAGAGGAGGGAGGGGAGAAAACCTTCCATGTAGATCCCCGCTCCAGCCCCGTGGTATCGCCAGGAGGGGTAAGACTGGTTGAATGCTGACTCTGGACTTTGTTTCCCCTTAGTGTGTGCTGTGTTTTGAATTCCTCTCCTCCCTCTTCCTGCAAGATTTTGAGTTGGCTGCTGGTTAGCAAACTCCTTTTTACCCATATAAGTTATTTAATATAATGAAGCTCAACACTGTGGTAGGAAAGTAGCCACTAGGAAAAAAAAAAAAAAAAAGCAGAGTTTGTCACTGGACTGCTTAATGTTCTCGAAGGACTTTTTGTTTTCTCTGCCCTTCTGAGCTGTTTACAACTGACCACTGTGTTCTACAGATGTATTTTGCCGTAGTTTTTTGTTACTTAGTTTTCCATCATGCCAATTTCGTTTTCCTCTTGTAAATTTAAATTATCTGACTTTAAGGGTCTTGGAAAAACCCACAGCCAAATTACAATTTAATTTCTTGAACAGACTGATTTTTCATTATGTTTTTGGAGCCTGCCGGTGACTAAACGTGAACAAAGAATAAATTGGAAAGTGACCGGCCCCCTCCCCTCCACTGCAGCAGTGAACGCAAACAAATGGAAAACATCTTGCCGTTAACTCAAAGGTCGATCTAGTGGTGAAATAGTTCGCCTTGTTAAACATCTCAGTAAGGGTGTAGTTGCTCTGCAAACAGCCATTCTATTTATTTACTCTAGGAGAAACTGTAGAGTAGTAAACCGCGCTGATGAACAAAACAAAAACATCGTGTTCAAAACAGAGATGTATTTGAGAACCTCATGACATGGTTTCAAAACACAGAGCATGTATATGTATGCTGCACGCCGTCTCTGCAGACCTGAAATGTCTCCAAGCTGTCCCTTTACAACCGTCAATATATTTTACACTCTGCGGCCAGGACTTGTGGCGTCTCTCCTTTCTTTTATGGATGCGACTGTGGGGGTGGGGTGGGGGTGGGGCTGCTGTCAAAGGAGTTCAACTCAAGTGACTGGCTAGGAGTGCGTCTGTCCTTGAGGAGGTGGCCTTTAGTAGGAGTATTTACGTGGGCATTTGCTTTCTGGAACTGGGTCAAAGTAAGCATTTAATGAACTGCACCTGCCAGGCACTTTCCAAGTGTTTAGCATGGACCAGGATCCTCCCTTTTTGGTGCATGTTGGTAATAATCATGATTTGTCTAAGGCCCATAGCTAATGAGAGGCCCAAAGATTTGAAAGAGAACTTCTTTTTTTTTTTAATGTTTATTTATTTTTGAAAGAGAGAGAGAGAGTGTGAGCAGGGAAGGGACAGAGAGAGAAGGAGACAAAGTCCGAAGCAGGCTCCCGGCTCTGAGCTGTCAGCACAGAGCCTGACATGGGGCTCGAACTCACAGACCTCGAGATCATGACGTGAGCCAAAGTCGGACGCTCAGCTGACTGAGCCACCAAGGTGCCCCTGAACAAGTCCTTCTGATTTCAGAGTCCAAGCTTTAACCATGCTGCCAAGCGTTCTCCAAATTCAGTATAACCTCTCAGACTTGCAAATAGCATGGACATCTTGGTTAGGTGCAGATTTGGATTTGGAGGACTGGGGTGGAGCCCGGTGATGCTAATGCTATTGGTCCTGGAATCTGCTTAGAGTTGCAAGGCACGCCACGATACTGCTGCCTTGCCCTGAGGTACGCTCCTCCCTGAACTCCAGGCCCCTTTAATGGTTGCCATGACAGCAATGATGTTTATCTGTCAGCCACCTACATCCAGGGTCAGCTACCTCTGGGCTGCTGGCCAAGTCTGCCTGTTTCACAGGGCCCACAAGGTAACAATGGTTGAAAAACATCAAAAGAATAATATTTTATGATATGTGAAAATTATATGAAACTTAAATTTCAGTGTCCGTAAATAAAGTGGGACACAGCCACCCTCATCTAGTCGTGCATTTTCTTGTGGCTACTTTTTGCTGGAGAGTTTTATAGTTGTGGCAGAGCCTGGATGGCCCTACAAAGCCTCAAATATTTACTTTACGGCCCTTTCCAGAAAGTTTGCTGACTGACCTCTGATCTAAAGTGGTCATTTTGAGCATTACGTAAATGAATTTGCAAAAATGCTATAAGGTCTCTATGATAGCATTAGATACATAAAGTGGCTGCGGAAAAAATTTTACCGAAGTGGTATTAGGCTTATGAAATGTGATTCCAAGTCTATTTAAACAAAAAGTTTTCACGGAAAGAATTACCATTCTCACACAAACCCTCTTGTTTCAATATCTAGATAAAGCAGCAGTTTAAACTGTGTACTTTAGTCATCTGTGGAAATCATTTACTATTCTCCTCTTTGTGCTGTGTGAGTATTTGGACTCCCCAGCAGGTGATAGATACATGTATAATTTATGTGGCTGGATGTAAGCCTGGGTAAACACAGCATAAATAGCACCGGGCCATGTCAGTCCATAGGTTTCAATTCATGAGGTAATCTGTCCGGGCACGCCAGACATTCCGTAGAAGCTGGCTTGGAGCTGAGGCCTGGAGGGAGCCTTAGAACAACCTGGATTTGATAGGGAAAGAAGAATGTACCTTTCTCTATGTGAAGCGTCCCCTGGGTTTGTAGATACAGGCTTGAGCTCCCCAGGGGTGGCCTGCCTTTCATCTAACAACATCATTGGATATGATTGTCTTGCCTTTGTTGTTGAAGGTTTTCAAGATCAGCTTTCCCTTTCCACTTGGCCTGGCTCTGGCACCCCTGCCCACTTTCTTACCCATCTTGTAATTTTCTCCTAGCATGCTTCTTTCTGTGCTTTTCTATTTCTAACCGCTGCCCATATGCCCCCTGCACTTAGAATCTCCAGAAAGCACACCCTACCATTGGAAGCTGAGTTGCTAAACTATAGAGGAATGTTGCACCGTAGATTATTAACATCTTCTACCTTTCGCTGGGGTACATTTTGTTGACTCTGTGACCTGTCTCAACAAAAGACAGTGTCTCCCTCTGTTCCAAACATATCTCACTATCCTGATGGAGAACGCACAAGTGGGGGTAATTTTCTTTTGGAGCTAAGGGTTCAAAGGAATTCCTAAATTCATTTCCGGGGAGGGGGGCGGTGTGCGGGGAATGTGGTTAGTTACCTGGAAATTACTAACTAAACATATAGAACTCAAAGTTATTCTGATAACAAATCCATCAGCTTAACCCTTAAGACATTTTTTCTTATTTTTTTTTTAAGGTTTTATTTTTCAGTAATCTCTATACACAACATGGGTCTTGAACTTACAACCCCAAGATCAAGAGTTGTATACTCCACTGACTGAGCCAGCCAGGCACCCCACCCTTAAGATATTTTAAAAGGAAAGATGTTTGCCAGAAAATTGAGGCACTTCCTGGATTAAGCCACATTTTTTTTTTTCCTGGATTTGAATGATCAGATAAATCCCTGAGTTCTCTGCTTCATGTAATCAAGATCACCAACTCCACTAAATGCTAACAAGAGATGTTGGGGTTTGATGTTTATGTAGCAAAACCTAACAGGTTAGGGACGTAACATTCAAAACTAGCAAATAAGGCTTGCTCCATGCAAAATAGACCACTGTCCTAATTCTATATTTAAAATTAACTCCTTCTAAAGGGTATACATATCTGCCTTTTTTTTTTCTTTTTTCTTTTTTTTTAGGTTAATGCAATAAGGAAATTCCCAGGTTGCTAATTCCCTTTTTTGGGGTTAGCAGGCTTCAACAGGCTTAATTCCCACTCTGAAAGCCTAGAACCCTGCTTCATTTCTCTACAATTTAATCTAATAAGAGAAGAAACATCCAAATGTGTGTGATCACATTCTGGACAGTATGAGGCATCTGTCTTAGAATATTGTTAACTGTTAGCCCACTTAAGTGTAAATATGTACACAATCAAACATTTTAGGATTTCTAGGCAATGTTCTATAGATCATAATTTAGGAAATAAAGAGGAAAAAGGGAACTGATATTTCTTAGAATCAAGAAGAAAACTATGTACTTCTCGAAGGGTGCCAAACCCATGGGTTTTCTACCAGAAACAAAGTTTGCATTCTTTTCCTTTTTTCCACCTACACCACTTGGAGAAAATGGTAGTGTGAAATCCTCTTTCTCTGGATGAACTACTCTGGGAAAGTAAGTTCAGCAGAGCATATTGTCAACCTGGTTAAAACATGGCAGTTGGAGGGACTGTGGGCACTATTAGATTTCTTGCAAAGCAGTTACGAATTCTCGTAAGGGCAGGTGAGCAGTGTGGGGAGTTGTGTGTTGAGTGTGTTGAATGCACGAGCAAGCAAATTATCAGTCTGGTTACTGGAGGTCTTTGCTTCCTTTGGGTGAAACAAATCTCAAATGTACCTCTAAGACATTTGGATTTTGGAAATAAGTATAAATTGAAATAATTCTGATCCATTCTTATGGGTAGGCCTATGCCCAGAGATCAACAAGGGAAATCCAAAGCACTGAGGTTTGTTTTCATTATGGTGATTATTAGACTGTTAACACTCTCCTGTGTATATTAGTACCTATAATCATCACAAGAAATCCATCTTTAAAAATAATATTGGAGTCCATCATTTAAAAAAAAATCCTGGGACCCCAAGATTGTTTAAGGTTCTGGGATAATTTGCAACCACTATGAGAGCATTAGATGAGTAGTATGAGAGTCAAGCACTAAACCTCCCTGTGCTTAGATTTGTAGGACTTTGGGGCAGTCTCCCCACCTTTCCACACCTCGGTGTCCTCATCTGCAAGTAATAGGTCTGGACTAATTGCCCAGGAATGGCCATCCCAGATCTAAGAGACTGTGGTTTGGGAAAGCACTTTCTCAGCTTGCATGACTGAAGGGTGAATTAGCAAGTAAATACAGCATCCTGCCTTTGTGCCTCCAACCTTCTCTCTTCCTGCCTGCCTCTTTGGTGTTTTGTTTCATTGTGTTTGAAGAGGCAAGGGATCGGAGGCTAATTGCTACTCCGTAGGAGACACAGGAGTGCTGTAGGCTCAAGTCACCTCTGCAGTTGTGCCTCCCTTTGGGATAGAGTTTCTTTACAGCGAAAAATGACCATTCCTCACACCAGAGACCAGCAAACACCCTTTGTGCGGGATCATTTGAATGATTTCAGAGGTGCTAGATTAAGAAGGCACCGTTTCTGAAGACTATAAAAATAGCTTTGTGTGTAGACTACTCTCTGCCACAGCAGCTGTTGTAATTGTGCTTGTTCATATAGA